AGATGAAACAAAATGTGTCTGCACCTCTGGAGATCAGCTTCCCCTTTGGTGATGTAAGAAAATAGGGCATGAAGGAAAAGGCCTCTCTGGTAGAGCATGTGACTGAATGCATTGCTGGCCCTGACTACCTGAAAGAGCTGTCTGCACACAGTACAAGTGGGATTTGGTCTGGATGTGTTTCATTTGTAGAAAGGAAGCATTTAGCCTTTAAGGAAAGAGTGATAGTGTGTGGCAGTGCAAGGGGCCATTTGGATGGAGGTGAGAAGGGCCCATAAATGCTTGGGGAACTTGTCAGTCTGTGTTTCTGTACACACAGGTGGATTTACAGATGTAAAAACAAATAAAATACATAGTATATAAAGTACAGAATATAGCACATATATATATCATATCTATATGAGAGCACAGACAGGTGTGCACACCAACAAGGACAATATGCAGAGCCAATGGGGTTGTACGAGGCTGTTTCCAGAGGGTAGAGGGAAAGGAGGGCTGCTTGCCAGCAGGCTAGCATAGCCAAGCAGATTTGCTGTTCAGCTTCATTATTTACTTCCAATTAGGAAGTCGAGGGATAGGAAATGTGTCTGAGTCAACCAGGCCTTCAAAGCCTTCCTCCTGCACGCATCAAAGCTGCTGCTGCAGATCCCTCTGCAAAAAAGGCTCTGCCAGCTCCGAGCAGCAGCAGCCGCCTGGCTTGTGCTGCGCGGGGTCGTTCCCTCTTGGTTTGATTGTCAAGCCTCCCGGGGTGGTGCTCTATCTGCAGCCTCCAGAGCAGAAAGCTCCTCTTTCTGATTCACAGGGACAGAGCTAAGGAGCTACAGCTTGGCAAAATGGTGTTTAATGGGGCTGCAGCAACAAACCAAGCTAACTACGAACATGTGAGACAAAAAGCCTGCAGGGAAGCATGTTGCCTGAAGTCATGCAAGAGGATGGTTTGGGATGAGAAGAGCTGCACTGAGTGAGAATTCATCCACCTAAGGAAACCTTAAAGGGGAGACAACCCTTGTTAGCAAGGAAACTTTGACAGTACGGTCAGAATTTCATCCCTGCTCAATAATCAGTAATCTGCTCAAGGCAAATGTCTTCTCTTACTGGGAATGGAGTGGCTCACTTTCCAGGAGCTGGCAGTCCCTCTTTCACCTAATATAATATGTTCATTGTTATCTGTACCAAAGAGCATTGTCCAAGCCTTCTCCCTCCCCATTTTGATAAACTGCATAGTGACAACCATCAGTCCCCTACCAAAGCTGGCTCCTGTGCAGAAACATTTGTAAATTCACTCGATGTATAAAGCTCTGTTCCTGCTCCCCCCATCCCCTGTTTGCCTCAGAGGTTAGAGTTAATATGACTCACCTAATCTGGCTGCCAAAGTGAATTAGTGAAAACATCTCTACAGCTCTCTGCAAGATATCACAACCTGACATTTCTCTAACACTCTGCGATACATCTTTCCTCTCCCTGATCTGTACTATAACACCTCAATTTTATATAAATGCTTTGTTAGAAATTGTTAGTGTACTCTTAGAGGGGACAAGGCAGCAAGCAAAAGGGTCTGTCTTGAAAGGGAGAGCAGCTCAGTTCTTATAGCAAAATGTTGATGCTCAGGGTCACCAGTGTAGACAAGAACAGTGCTACCACTTACTCAGTAAGAGACTATCACGGAAACTTTCCCTGAAGTATTATGCTTTTATGTGTGTCCTAGAGCAGGGGGATGAGGAGCTGAATAGGGTTATTGATGTCTTTGACATGCCCTTTAGAACAGAAGTCCTGCCTTTCACTTACTTCCAGGGCACTCCACTGGGCAAGGCAGCAGCTCATCATGTGTTGGGAGGGGTTTGTGTAGCTGTGAAAGCTCTCCTGCTGGACATGGTACACAGTGTACTTCAAATGCATGTATGTATGCAGGGAAAAGCTCAAAAACATCTTCCCTTGGGAAAGTACCTACCCTTGTAGGTTACTTTGGAGCTCCACTGACGTGGTTCTCTAAAAAGTCTTAACAGCACCCTTAATGAGGGTGCCACTCCATTAGAGCTGGTTAATTCACCCTTAACCCTGTTTTCATTACAGTGACAGTCTTGTGACAAGGGCAAATCGCAGGAGAAGCAAGTCCCACTTGGTATGAACCCTGTGTATAAACAAGGCAGAATTGCAGAGCAAATGAGTTGCAAAACAGAGGCAAATTATGTTTTAACCTTTTCTTTGTGAGTCTTTCCCTGATGTCTTATTAACTTTCCATTCAACTGACTGACCTACCAACTGGGAGTGCTGCTGTGAAAGGAGGAGAGTGTTGGTTGTCAGCTCAGTTTGGGGGTGGGATTTTTGAAGTGTTTTATTAGCAGATAGCAATATGAGTAATATGCCATAAGAAAATCTGGGAATTAAGAGAGTTCCCAAACAGAACTGTTCCCTGCTGTAGCAAAACCTGAAACAATGTGCTGCCCCTACAGAGTAGCACGACGCAGTAGTTGCAATGCAGTCCTTCATCTGTGTTCAGCCCTGCTAACACCTCATCTGAAATGCTGTGTTCAGGTTGGGGTATCACACATCCATAAAAATGTGAACTTGTCAAAGAGGTCTAAAAGCAAAGAGTAAGAATGATCAAGAGTCAAAAAAACCCTCACCTACAGAGGAAGGTTGAAAGACCCTGGCAACGTTCAGCCAAAAACAAAAAACCCAAAACAAATAAAACAACTGAGGGAGGAACATAAGTGATTTAAGAGTTGATAAAAGGCTATTCCAGGGAAGGAGAGAATGATTTGTTCTTTTTGTCTGTAGTGGCTAAGACAAAAATAATAGCTTTAAATTGCAGCAAGGGAGATTCAGGTCAAACTTCATGAAACTGCTCCAGTGATAAGGACAGCAGAGCACAGGAACAGATTGTCAGATTGTCTCTGCCGCTGGAGGGCAGAGGATGGCTGTATCCCTGACATGACTCATGTGTCCTGCCTTGAGTTTGGGGAACGGCTTAGATGGTGACTGAAATCCCTTCCCACAGTGCTGTGACTCACCTAACTCTGGTCCTACAGGGGTTAGGATTCCCTAATATATTCTTGAGATCCAGAAAAACAAAAAAACAAACAAACAAACAAACAAAAAAAAAATCCCGTGAAATTCCCACCCTGCTTCCTTCTCCACTGACTCTCCACAGTATCAGCCCCAGTGCAGAGCAGAGGACTGAGAGCCATGTCCTGGCAGCAGGAGCCAACTTTGCCTCCTTCCCTTGTGCAAAACGCTGCTGCCATGCAGGACGGTCCTGCAGCAGACTGATGGGGGTTGCAAAAACCAAAGCAGTTGTGAATTTTAGACATAGCAATGAGATTTCCAATACCTGAACATCTGGTAAGAGTTGAAAAAAGGGACTGCTGATTGCTCCTGCTGAAAGAGAGGGGGAGCCCTTGTCTTTACATGAGTTTAATAGGTACACTGCTGTTTTCATGCTGAGTCTCTGTGATGGGGGTGGTTTTCCCCTAGAATGATTCTGAAAATTGCCTGTGAAAAATAAAATTTTTTTTAAAAGAGATAAAAATAATTATGTAAAGGACAGAGTTCTGAGCAGATTTTGAAGTTTCTGAAGTTGCTCTCTGATGCTAAAGGGAATTGCACATAGCTGGCATCACCAGTGTGTGTGGCCAGGCTGACCTGCCCAAGACTCTGCAGTAAGTCTGTGCCTCTGGGGTGGGATTTGTTGCAGGTGGCTCCATAGGAAGTTCAGCTCCAGAGACTGGACTTACTCATTGTTTTCATGAAGTGCCAGAAACCAAGGGGAATAGTAGACACTATTTGAGCTCCCTCAAAAACTGTAAGCAGTTTTGTGAAGTGGGTAGGGTTTCAGAAGTGCTTGGCACCTGTTGAGCAGAAAATCTGCTCAAAATCTTCTGGGCTTGGGAGAGTTTTTTGGAAAATCTGACCACTCTCTGAGGAACTTGAATGGGAGCTCTTGTGATCTGACCCTTTTTTTTCTTTTCCTCAACTCTTTTACACATTTAGAGTTGAGGGCTGATTTCTCTAAACATACACAGGAACATAACTGGGACTTGCAGTTTCTAATGCTGCAAAGCAGTGCTTATAGCCCTCTGAGAGGAGGAAATGTGGTTCAGATTCTTTCCAGGAGGTGCCTTACTTTGCTTTCTGAAGGAATAGGATAGATGTACCAATCCTAATATTTCATGCTTCCCTAGAAACTTTCATGCAATTAATCTAAATGAGTTTTACATAGGTTAACCTCACTTCCCTGCTCTAACCAGGAGGTGATGGGAGAGGGGGGTTATTTACTGCAGTTTACAGAGGGAAAGCAAAGGAGTGACTCACTCAAGGTCACACAGTGAGTTAAAAGCAAATCCACAGACCTCCCCTGATTCCCGCCCCCATTCATAACCCCGACTGACGCTAGAGTCACTGTTTTCCGAAGTGTGTAAGTGAGGCAGCATGGTTTAAATGTGTCGTTTCATATGTACAGTAGCTCAGGGATGCGTGATGATTATTGGTCTCTGCAGATCAAATTACAGTTTGTTTCTCTCCGTTTGGCTGTGTTTAACGGTAGCTTGATCTGATCGATGGCACTTCAGGGTGGTGGTTGCTCTGAGAGACAGAAAGACATTTTTCACAGTTTTGTAGTGGAAAAAAGGGTGCTGACAAGACATCTGAGGACCCAGCTAGACCAGAACCAGCACATCACCCACAGCGTGACTAACTTCTGGTGGTACTCAGCCATCACACCAGGGAACTTAGTCTTATCTTATGTGGTGGAGATTTTGCTTCTCAGCCTGGGCAGCCTGTGAGATGCTATGTATTGTACCACCTGCATGCTACCTTCCAGATTTTCAGTTTTCCATGATTAAATGAAATACTGGTATCTTGCTGGTGCGCCTTCTGAAATAACTTTTAAATGGCTCATGACTGTTGCTTGTTTGCAGACTCCATGTTGTTATTGTTCCTCCATAGCAATTTCCTAAATCTAAAAGCCTAACAGAACCACCCTTTGTATTTTTCTGTCCTACCAGGCAGAGAGTTTGAAGGTGAGGAGGAGTACCTGGAGATCCTGGGGATCACACGAGAGCAGTCGGGCAAGTACGAGTGCAAAGCTGCCAATGAAGTTGCCTCAGCAGACGTCAAGCAAGTCCGGGTCACTGTGAACTGTGAGTACATCACAGCTGGGGCAGGGCAGTGGGGAGAGCTTTGCCCACAGGCGAGGGTTACTTCAGGATAAACAAAGATGTGTTTTTGGGTTTGGGTTATACAATCTGAAAGGGAGGGCGCTGAGAAAACTATCTGCAATCAGACACTTGCCACAGGGTACAGTTTGTGTTTTAAACCTGGTAATATATAAGAAAAGGCTCAGGGAGGTATGGTACAGAGAGACAGAGAGAGAGGGAGAGACAGAAAGAAGAGCTGTAAGTTGCCCCCGTCTCTCCCCCCTGAAACACTGGCAATGCCTTGTTTTCACTCATTGATATTCGGGTGAACAGTAGCGTGAAGAGAAGCTTCACCAAGGCAGCAAGGAGAGATAAGGAAGGGCTCAGCTAGCTCAGAGCAAACACGTGCCTGCCTGCACCCAGCCATCTCAGCAGTGCCTACATAGCTATCATCAGGGGACACGGGGCAGAGGCGTGTGTTAATGACAGGGTGCAAAAACATAACTTTTATGCTGGTTTCAAGTCATTAGTTTAAAGCTCTGTCTAAAAGACCCTTCATACACCAGTGCAATACAGAAAGGAGTTTTGGCCAAAGGATACAGCAATCCCTTAAAAGCACCAAGAGGCACAGTAAACTGTGGCTTGCTTCGTCACCTCTGGATTGGGGCATGGATCCCATCCCATATGTGCTTAGACAGGTGTCCACTTCACTCGGCTGGCATGCTCCTCTCACAGTAACACAAGGTATTTCAAACTGATGTTACTCTTTAATCCTACATGTGTATCTGTCCACCTCCATACTTGTATGGCTTATATCTGCAACTTGAGTGATGTAAAGTGAGCTATCCCCATGTACCTGCTTTGTTTCTCTCCCAATCTTCTTCAGTTTAAATTGAGACTTAAACCAGAATATAAACTTAAATTAAAATTGGAGATGGCTACAGACATATTTCTGAGTGCATATTCGTACCTTGATTCACAGGTAGAACTGTTAGGGAGCAGGTTAGGGCAGAGAGCTGATGGCATCAATTGTTTCATGCAATACCAGTCTTAATTTGACTGTAGGTGATTATAGCACCTTTTAGTACCATTCTTGCTCTTCATTTCTTTCCCTTGGTCCCGTGTGGGCCATCACATCAGATTAACTTTTCCGTCTTGCTTAGAAGTCGAGGTTATAGGCTCCCTGCAGCATTTTCTGAATTCACAGTTTTTTATAGTTCCCTTAGAAACTGGGTGGCAGTGGTTTAATATCAGCTTCCTCATTGTCCAAATTTGGTATTAATATGAACTGTAGTAGCAGACTTTCTGCACTGAAAGTACAGAAGTGTCAAATACAGCTCAATTTATAAACTGGAGACTTTCCATGAGAACCAATTAATAATTTCAAATATTTCTGTGAAACATAATTTTAATGATGCTTTAATGTGTTTGAAACAGATTGTTTGTATAAAGTCAGAATGTTTGATTTTGATTTAGTTTCAACACATAACTATGCCATGGTAAGATCTTAAACATTTTAACTGTTGGAAAATATGAAAAAGTGATGTTAATATGTGGTGTAATTTGTAATGTAAGCACCTTAAAATTCCTTAAGGACAGATTTTTTTCTTTTGAAAAAAAGGGAAATAAATTTAAGAGACTATGAGGACGATACAGGAAAAAAATCATTCTTATTAGGGGAATGAAAAGTAGATATTTGCATACACCTTTCCCCATCCTGCTCTGTTAAACAACCCCACAAACAGCAGAAAGTGGGAAAACCACAGTAAGTTTGAAAAATGGAGGCTGTCCAACCTCAGGAGCTTCCTAGCCATCTCTTATCATCTGCTGTGGAGCACCGTCAGCTCAGACTGCAGGAGAAAGCATCTCACTTTGCTTTAGTCTCACACTACCACCTTCAGGCTTCCCAAGTAATTGCCCTTGCACGTCACAGGCAGGGAAACTGAGGCCTGGGGAGAGTGGGAGGAGAACAGCCAAAGGGAACCCACTCCTGGTTTCCCAGGCAGCAAATGGCTACACACAGAGCAGCTGCTTTTTAGGTGCAATAGGCTGGTTTGTTTGGGACTGCTACCTGCCCCTTCTCCCTGGAGAGCACTGCACCAACTTGTTAAAGTGGTGAATGCAGGGACTGTTCAGAGCAAGGGGCTGGGCTCCCTGGAAGCTGGCTGGGAAGCACACACTTGCTGGAATCATTTTCTAGGACCGTGGAAAGATGCCTATTCATTCTGTGACTCACCTCTTGTACCAGATTCATGCACCTCTTGTACCAGATTCATGAAATAGAAAGGTTTGTCTCGCTGTAGACAGCAAGAAGATATACTCCTCAAACCAAAAAATCAAATAAGAATGGTTAAAATATCACCTTCGTTTTCCTTTTATTATCCCTCCTCCTTTTCAAATTAAAATATTTACATGAACCCACAGCCTTTGAATGTAGGATCCTATTTATGTAAACTTATTAATATTTATGATGTTAGAGGGCGTACTGCAATATCCCTAAAGCCCTGCATAAAATCCCGATTAAGGTCAGGGAAGGGATCATATTGAGATGGCTAATGTGTTCACAAACAAATTTCCTTCCCTATATTCTCCAGACAGAATTTTTTTTTTCTTTGACTGACACACTCCGTTTTGCTGTTGTGTTTTTTTCTTTTGGCCTTTCAGTTCTGGGATAGATAGAGATGGCAGAGTGTGTTTCATGGTAACTTGAGTCTCAGAAAAGTATCTAAGTCGCAGCCCTGTAATCTCAGGGTATGCAAGTATTAGTAAAGAGAGACAAGGCACTTACTCCTTGATCCCTCTCAGCAGTCAGGTGGAAATAATTCTGTCTTTTAAAATGTAAAGCTTATAGCATAATATTTTGAACATGAGGCTGGGATTGAACATACCAGCACCTACCCTACCTGGTTTCCAGCCAGTACTGAGTCCAAGCTCCAGCAGAGCACTCAATATATTTTCCAAGTTTGGTTTGCCCATGGCACAACGCTTAGACTTCAAAGTAAGCAGAGGCAGGAGCACCATGCTGGGCTGAGGGAAAACTTCAGGCAGAGCAGTCACAAGTGAGCCCTTCTGGAGCTTGTGACAAAGCACAATGTCCAGGAAGGTTTGATCATAATTTGTAACCTTGGAGACACCTAAGGGAAGGGTCTCAGCACTGGCTCTCGGAGTTACATCCACAGCTTCTGCTAAAGTTCTTCTCTTTTAAGCCATTAATGTATTTCTGTTTCATACATGTTGCCTCAGTCCTTTCTTATTACAATTTTGGCATTAAGGAAAGAGTTTGTGTGGAATATAATTTCCATGCTACTGTTAAATTCCTTCTTTATTCCTTTACTTTTGCTGTCTTTCTTTATCCTTGATGAAGTCTTTCTCTCATCTTCTCTCTGATAAGTCCATGTGAACTACAGATCCGTAGGTAAATATTCATAAATTGCAGAAGTCCATCATTAACCTTAACTTTGCCTGTGTATGCCTGTGCATTTATGACAGAACTTATTCAGCAGTGCTGAAGAGAAGCACGTTTAAGGAGTGCTGCTAATGTTGTATATCAGGAAGAGTTCAAAGAGCAATGTTCTGCAGAGGAGCAGGAGCATTGGGCCTTCAGTAGCCTCCAGTGGCTCAAACAGTTTGCATGAGGCAAGCAGCCCTGACATAGTTTCACTATTTTGCTCCACCTGGAAGTGTGTGGATTGACCATGTGTTTCCTTCCTGCAGACCCTCCCACCATCACAGAGTCCAAGAGCAATGAAGCAGCCACAGGACGACAAGCCTTACTGCGGTGCGAGGCATCAGCAGTGCCCACGCCTGATTTCGAGTGGTACAGAGATGATACCAGGTAAGGTCTTTAGCTTGCCTCTTCCCTCGACTCTTTTTTAGTCCATTGAATAGAGGTTCCTCTCATCCTCACCAACTCCTCTCAAACAAATTGCTCCTTACAATCCGTTTGAGTCACAATGTCCCATCAGGCTCGGCAGAGCCAGCATGTTCATGGCTGGAGGAGACAATTCCTTTCTGCACTGAAGGAAGTGCAGAGGATGGAGCTCTTGCCTTGAAGTCAATTATGGGCCAAGGCCCAATTAATGCAATGTTCATATTTTAAGTAGCTCATGATGTATACCAAGAAGTAGGTAGTGTAAGTCTTCAGTTAGGTAATGCTGCTCCAGGTGCATTCTTCTAGAGAAAGGAGCTGCTGAGGTATGAGATTTCCCCACCTGTGCGACCTGAGCCTCTCAGATTTGCATATGAGAATAAATGAGAAGAGAAAAACAATCATCTGTCTTTTCTACCTAAACATTGACCTGCCATTAAGAAGGTTATATTATTCCTGTACTTATTAGGGTAGCCAGCCCCGAACAGGGTGCCCAGGTTCAGGGGTGACTCAATATGGGTATATAGGCACATACTGTGAATCAGTGTGTTTCACTAAGAATATGTTGTTTAAGTACAGACTAGCCTTCAGCTGACTATGGTGTGTTCATTTTCAGAGTGACTTGGTGCTGGGTTGATGCTTCCTCCCTTTCTTTTGTCTTTCCTTGGTTCTCTACTGCTTTACCAGTGGCATTTAATCCCACTGAACTCCTATATTCTTTTCATTACCTCTTCCTGTTTTCCATCTATCTTCCAGCTTTCTTTGGTCTCTTTCCTCTCACATCCCCTCCCTGCTTCCCGCTATCCTCACCTGCCAGCTGGGCTGAATTTGGTGTGTGCTGGGGAGGGATTTCCTTCCCAGTACACAGCTGTCATTGCATTATAAACCTCTTCTCCTTTCTTCCCAGGATAAACAGCGCCAATGGTCTGGAGATAAAGAGCACGGGAAGTCAGTCTCTGCTGATGGTGGCCAATGTCACTGAGGAACACTACGGGAACTACACCTGTGTGGCTGCCAACAAGCTGGGAGTCACAAATGCTAGCCTATACCTTTACAGTAAGTACAGGAGAGGGTGAAGGGAGGCTCTCACAAAGACGTGGCTGTGCAGGAAGCACATGGTGGTCAAAACTCAGGAGGCATCTGCTTGACAACCCAGTCCCCTCAGACCTCCAGCCATGACCTGGCTTTCAGAACTCTGCTTTCAATACCTATGTGTTCATACTTGCTTTGAAACACAAACACAGCCAAATCAAAAGATTTGCAGTCAAGTGCTTTGATTGACTGGCTTTGCTGAAGACAGATTTTGTTAAAATAATAAAAACATGTTTGTTTTAAAGCTGGAAACAAAAAACACTTTAGAATGACAGCCCCTTTAATAAGTAGACAGTAAGGCCAGGGCTCAGAGGATCCATGACAGGTGAGAAATGACAAGTAATTCAAGGAGATGGAGAGAACTAGCCACCGAGCCTGAGGAGAACGAGACAGTCAAGAAAAAGAGAAATTGGTTTGAAATTGGAAGGGATAGAAATGAGAAAAGATAGAATGATTTTAAAGGGATATACCACACGGACCATGGGGGAAAAGGTAATCAACAGATGAAATATGGAATAAGGTTCCTTGGATCTCATTCTGCTACCTTTCAATTACTTAGTTTGTCTTAGTAAGTATAAAGAGACAGAAGCTGGGACTAGACCAAGCTCTAGAGCAGAGTTACCTGCTGGTTCTGAATTTTGCATCTGATTCAAACCTGATCCTAACCAGAGCCCCTGCCCCTCACCAACCATCCACATGCACATAAAAACTGTAGTGTATTTAAAATGCAGTTCCCAATTCCAGGTCTAAAACTTGGGCTCAACTTGGCCCACATGTTATTGGCATTGGAGATACACTGCAGCAAAATGACCCACTCACACAAATAAACACATTTACACAAAAGTGACTGATGGAAGTGTTCCTGTGATGGTCCCAAACTGAATTAAAACTCTCCTGTCATGACCTGTATGTCCTTTTAAACAGAAAACAAAAAAAAAAAAAAAAAAAAGGAGAAAAAAAATCTGTGTAAAGCAGTCAGTATGGGATGCAGTTTAGTCTAGTTTCTGCTCTGACTGAAAAAACCAAAGTTATGGTTAAAAATAACAGATGTAGTGCAAAAGGATATTTCCATGGGCATTCTTTGTTTGCCACCTTTGGATTTATTTCATGGCAGTTTGAATTTTTGCAAATTTGGGTGTATTTTGTGGCAGTTATTTTCTAAAGAATAGATATTATCATAAAGGAACATATATTTTATTTCCTGTAGCATTGCAGCACACAAAGCAAATTTCTGCTTTGAAAGTCTTTTCACCCTGTTCTTGTGACTGTCATGAGATTAAAAAAAATCCTCAGGCAGCAATCTGGAACACAGTTTTCAAATACTCCAGATTTGTTCTTGCTGATATTAATATAATTCTAAGTTTAGATTCCATTATTTGTGACTGAATTCTAAATTTGTCTCTCTCTGTTGGTTCCTGTTACACAGATGAACTGAAATGCATCACTGAAACAAAATATAAGATGTAATTCAATAATGTATATATGCATATATGATTTTAGCTGGGGGGTTAGTTTTGCTAGAGAAGCATTTTGCATGACTTCAGAACTTCACCTCAAAGGATCTCAAAGGATTTGCTCGCAATGAATATTTTAATATCACAAGTCACTTAGAAATGGGTGAGTGTTGTTAGCACCGTTTTGCAGTAGGAAGTTAAGGTACAGAGTGAAGAAGTGGTTTATCCATGGTCATAAAGTGAGTGTCATAACCTGTGAGAGACCCAGGGAAACCCTGCAAAGTTGCTGTTAACTGTTCCAGGAGGAAATGTGGCAACTCTTAAAGATGATTTGCAACAGTGACGATCCTATTTTAAGCCCCCTTTTGATGTGTATGAAGAACACTTTCTTTCTTTCTTTCTTTCTTTCTTTCTTTCTTTCTTTCTTTCTTTCTTTCTTTCTTTCTTTCTTTCTTTCTTTCTTTCTTTCTTTCTTGTTGGATTTTGTTTATAATTTTTTAGAAATTCAAGGCCTGTTTATACTGGAGGACTATATATTAGATAGATATTAGATAGATATTAGATTAGTTATTAGAGAACTTTCCAAGAGCCAGGAGAACAGAGGTACAGGAGCTGAGAGAGATTTGACGATTTTCAGTGAAGTCTTTCTAACTTGTTTTTGTTGCTTGGTTAATCCCTAATTTTTCACTGTGAAATTGCTTCATATTGTTTCAGGAAATCTCTGTTCTTCTAGTTAGTGTGGAAGAAAGAAAGAGACAGAAAAAAATAAATTCAGGCAGACTACAGCTGGTATCTTGAAGGTTGAGAAATCAGGGGGGAAATGAGTGAAGGGAATCCACCTTGATAAAGATAGATAAAGATAGATAAAGATAAAGATAAAGATAAAGATAAAGATAAAGATAAAGATAAAGATAAAGATAAAGATAAAGATAAAGATAAAGATAAAGATAAAGATAGCTGCTGAAAAAAATCTACAAGCCCAGATGAAAGAAATGCTGTAGTGATCACACAGTAGCTGAAATAACAGGTAATGTACATTCTCAGCCACACACCCAGACAGAAAAATAAAGCAGTGACAAGTTTTTGCAAGGTACAGCAGATACTCAAATACTTGGGACTGTTTTTCATCCCTGGAATCAGAGATCTTATTTCCTTTTTAAACAGAAAACAAGCTCACTGTAGAGCAACATCCCACTGGGGAGGTAAGTACAGCGATGGTTCCTCAGTGTCCCATTGCAGCACAAAAAAAGAATGGCAGCAAGGAGTGAAGAAACAGAGAGTTAATAATGAGGTACTTGCAGCTTTGCCTGAGGTGGAGGGCAGACAGGGAGCAAGCAAAATGATGTGAAAAAACAGTATAGCAATAGAGAAAAATTGGTGGCTACCATTTCATGAAATCTCAGTCAGCACTGAAAAACTCTCAGAGAGACTGAGTGCCTTAGATATCAATGTCATAGATAGAAGATGCATTAAAATATAAAAGCAGCTTCCTTGAGCTGCATGAATAGATAGCTAGTGGTCTTCTTAAAGGATGTAGCAGCAGGATTGCCTGCTGTAGGTGGAGAGATTTAAACCACTCACTCCTGGAGACTGAGTTTAATGACTACATAAATATCACCCTACCAAAAGTTTAACTTACCCAGGAAATTGCCTCCAACAGCAACTCTGGAGTATATTTGTAGAGAGGGTATTCAGGTACAGTTTGATGATATAACTGATCTAATAGCTTGCTGACATTCCTTGCTCCCCAGTCCTTTTTCTCCTCCTGCTCTCTACCACATGGTTTTGTTATTTCCCTTATTCTGCCACTCAGTGGACAACCTACTGAGCCAGTCCAACCTGCTAAACCAGTGAACAGGAAAATGAGTTTTACTGCTTGTCTCCCTAAAATGCCCCAAATGTTTTCTTTTGTTGTAATGAGCTGAACTAGTTCATGGCTGGGCTCAACAGGCACCAAAGTCCATGCAGGAGAGGAAGCTCTATCACACATCTGTGGCTATGAGGAGTTGGGAGGCAGGACCATGTGTGGCAGCACTGGTGAGCCAGTAGGTTGATTCAGCTCTGCAGAGCCTGGGAGCAAGGTTTGTAACCCCTAAAAAGGGGCAGTAGTGCACATCTCTGTGAAAATTACCTGACAGAGAGGCAAAGCCAGGGCTGCCATCACAGAGCAACAGAGGCAAAAAGTAGTGACACGACTGAAGTGAAAGGGTTCTTCTCCCAGTGTATTAGGAGGTAGGGAACATGTTTTCTTTTTGTTTCACTTCTCTAGCAGTACTCTGCTAAGCATTATGAGTGAAAGTCACAATTTGTATCTTAACATATGCTACACAGATATGTGTATATATACATACGTACACACACACACACACACACACACATATATACACACAGCAGATAAATACTTGCTGGAGGAACAAAGGTTTACGTGTAGGTGAGTTGTATACTTAGGCATGCACTCTGTGATGTAGAAGCAAACCCCTCCACAGGCACACAGAAGCAAATGCAGCAGCTGGCACATTCTAGCAAAGCAGAGAAAAGAAAGAAAAGCTTGTCCAAATTAGTTGCTTTCTGCCTCCTGCCGAGCTACCCCATCCCATAGGCTGAAACAGGAGACAGCAGCACAGTACTGCACATCCTGATGCAGACCTCCTGGCTCAATTATAGGAGGCTGCCACATCAGGAGGTCCCTTGCTGCATCCTCTGCACCCTTTGGGGAGTGGGCAGGTGCAGAGGTGAAGCAGAAGCTGGCAAGACAGTGCCAACTCAAGAAGCTTCAGGTGGAGCCCAGCAGTTTTGGTTTCAGCAAGGCAGATTCCTAAAAGCTGGCATTAGCCTCTAACTTGTTAGCATCCACATGCTGACACCGCTTCTTCCACTCTGCCCTCGCTTTGTTGTGCCTGAGCATTTGGTTCCAGTGGTGGCTGCAGGGGTTTGGAGCCTTAACTGTGGCCGAAATCCCTCTCAGTGGCTCTTGGTGCGCACCCCCTGTTTTCCTCAAGGCTGTCAATAACGGGGAGACTCAGCAGGGAGGAAAGTGGTTTGGACTGACAGTCAGAGGGGGCAAGGCTGAGACACTGCTAATGAGCCAGGGTGGAGCAATAAAAGCAGCACACAGTGGGAGAGGCGAACAGAGACAGAGTCCTTGAATAGAAAGCGGCATGATAATGAGGCCATAGTGCTTTGCTTTAACTGCTTATGCTGTGCAGCCTGCAGCGTGCTGTGCAGGAAGAAGGTAAAGGGGAGTTGAGTTATTTAACCAAACTTAAATAACAAGGAAGTCTTGTCAGCACAAACAGCCTGCTTTCTCAGAACAATAGTCCCCTGTTGCTACATAAACACAGAGATCCAAGCTAGACTTGTATTTGATCTCCCCCGTGCCTGCTGTGGATTCAAACAACTCCATTACCACCATGAGGGCAGGAGTTCTGCCAGTGTCATAGGGATGGGCTCAAACCTGATGAGCTCCAGTGAGACAGAAACTCACTCTTTGCACCAAGGATACTGTAGAAA